GCAGTTCTTCTGCAGCCACAGTTCCACTATTTTCCTGCTGTATACCTCCAAGCACATTGTCTGACAAGAGTGCAATAGGAGATATATCAGTTGCCCTCAAGAACGGAATGGGTACTGTGTTCCCAGCAGCATATATTGACCAAAGCTGCAATAACAAGTTCAAATAGTAAAAACAGGAAGCCAAAGATGGATAACAAAAATTTCAACCGTATCATGCTAAACTCCCACCAACCCTTTCAAACTGAAAAACTCTTTTATTCACAAAATACAAAAATGCTTCTTTTTTCTCACTCTATATAATATGCTATAGATGCCAAATACTGGAATTTGATAGTAAGCAAGATGCTGGGACAAATGACAAATAACAAAAGAAGAAACCATTTATTTCAGCATGACTTGACCTATTATAACCTCAAAATAACTCATTCTGAAATAAAGAGTGCAATCTTTGAAGCCTGAAGGTCAAAACATATCAATAAATTCAAACTGAAATGAAAAGTGTCTGGACCACATTCTCACATCTGCGAAGTTCGACAATGTAAGTAACTTTTTCTTGTTATTTTTTCCCCAAAAAAAAATAGTAACCTTATCTTGCAAAGCGAATGCTTTCTTGCTGACAGTTTCATTCTTCAATTTGGTAGAACAAATGCCACCATCCCCTTCAACCTGTGTCCGAGAAATGTTATTAACCTGGAGTTTCTGCTCAGGCAAGACAGGTATAGCAGGTGAGGATGTATTCATGGTCTGCCCAACAGGACTCAATTCACCAACTGAACAATTGTTTGCAGCAACATCTGTTTTACTGTCAATCCTGACAAAATATTTCCAATAAACAGTGCACTTCAGCAGGAAAAGAAACTAACATTTTTAAGTAATATGCAAGAGAAGGCTGAGCGAATTTACAATTCACAATCTAGAATTACATATCCCAATTAATGACCTTCAAGCAACTGGTAACAAAAACAATAAGTGGAAACCATATATGGCAGTCTCAATTAACAAAGAAATGTGCTGTAAGTTTTGGTACCAGGGCTCCACTGGTTTGCTTTCAAAGCTGAAAACAGAAGGGCTCTCAACATGTGCTGCATCATGTGAAAATTGTTTAACACTGGATGACTGAGTCCTGGTGAATGTGTTATCTGCCTCATCTCCACCATGAACGATCACAGTGCCAAAATAACCTGTTTAACGTAGATTTCCTCATAAATCAGACAATATCGAGCCAGTAGGGTTGCAGATGTAAGTTTTTAAACATAAAGACATTTTTCTAGAAGAAGCCAAGAATTATTAAGAAGCAGGGTTATCATGTCAATATACCGAGCTGCTCATTACACGAGATAGACCTAAAGCACCAATCATCTACTGCAGCTTAAAGATCTCCACCCTCAATTAACTAAATAATTTGATGAGATATAATGCAAAGTTGCTTACTTCATAGAACGATGTCCATAATTTATTATCATATCAAAATTCACTTTAAATTAACCTTTTTCTTAACTTCCTTTTTATTTTCCCTCCTTTCTCCCTCCCTCTTGAACTGTTTTCTTCTTTCCAGGTCAGGTTCTTCTCATCTGCTTTTCCTCTCTTCATACCAATTTCTCCACTGGATTTTTGGACATTGAGTGCAAGTCCTCAGATAATGGTCTTTGAGGGTTGAGCCATTGACTCTAAAGACTGTATCAAACCTCAAGTCCTTAGACATTACTTTTTTAGGGTTGAGCCATTGAGTTCTGTTGTATTTAGAGAAGCCAAGGTAGGGTGCTTTCCAATGGTCTCGGGGATTTTTACTGGAGAAAAGGAGAAGGTTCATAGCTAAGAAGCTTCAAAGGAGTGAAACACACGCTCTTGCAGGCTTTGGGATCAAATAGACGAGGCAAGTTCCTGGTTCTCATAAAGTAATTGGTAGAGTCGCACAGGACATATGCTCCTGATGCCACTGAGGCTGACAAATAGTGGCATTTCATGAAAGCTTTGGGACAGATTTCAACTGTGGTCATCCAGCCTCCTGCGACGACTTTATAGCAAAAGGAGATTTTTTTAGTTCCTAAGGCCAATTGCAACTCCTATATCCGTTTCAGGTTACACACCATTATTTGTGATTCCTCATGCA